TAAGTATATGAATCATTATCATCCCATTTTATAGATGAGGAAGATGACCTGATCAAATTCACATGGCTAGCTAGCTGTCAGTCTCTGCACATGTTTATTTGATAGCAAGTTTACTACCTTTCTGCTGCTTTCCCCACTGCTTTGCACTGACTACTCAACACCTCTAATTCTTCCATGGTTTAGACAGGGTGATCTCTGTAAAATTTTAAAACATCCCCATCTTAGTTCATAATATCCTCTTAATTTGGAGTAATTAGCAAATATTTAGACTCAGAGACACTGTAACCATCCAATGAGAGAACTCACAGAGGTCTTAATTATTCTCAGTGACTTCTTGTTACTACCAAGTATAGACGAGATCAGTGATGAAATCTAAGTTTAGATACACAAACCCATAAGGGTTAACTTGGGTTTGAAGTGAGGCATCTTTTAACTCCCTCTTAGACTGTGTCTATGGAGGGATTAGGGGACAAGCACAGAGTGCTATCCAAGTATCAACAAGCTAGAAAGAATATTGGCTTACAGATAAGGTAACTGGTGGTGTCACCACCACAAGCAGTAGAGGGCTCTCTAACATTACACACAAGACGCACAAGCAGGACTACCATTAGCTGGTGTGTTTTCTGGTTAACTCCTGCATCATCCCCATATTACCCATATTTTCTTGTTTGCAAAAGGTTATTCTAACTATCAATGCTTGGTCAGACCAGATGAATTCTGCTGATAAGAAGTTTCAGTGAAATTTTCCCATGCTGGGCCACTACTAACCTGTTAATGAACCCTGGGGCCATGCAAATTCTTAAAAAGGCCATTGCAATTTGGAATTGCAAGGTATTTCACCATCATAAAAAAAGTAATCAGTAACAGACACTGAATACCATAATCTGAGAGACGGAGTAATGAACAAGAGAATCATGTAAACTTTCTTAATCTCAGTTTCCCACTTTGGTAAATATACCAGGGAAACAAGAGGATGCTAACACATGAAAGCAGGTACATTAGTTTAGATTAATCATCAGTTCCTGGCTTCATCTTCCATCATCATTCTTTGAGGATATAAACTGACTTAGTGGTTATTGGAAAGTTAATCGAGCAAATCAAAATACTGTTGTGAAAGTTGAGAGTTTTTTCATAGACGTAAGACTCAGGGTTAAGATTTGTTTCTTAGCCTGTCAAAATCTTTCTATACATAAAATAGAGATCCTACCTAAAGATCCACAATATGTAAGGAAAAAAGACCAATAGGATATAAATCATACAAAGAGCCTGAGGTATAAGTAAAGCCTGGAATCTGATAAAACATACTGTCTCATTAGTGACAGAAGGTAAATTTAGTCACCTGAGAAAACAAAACTCTATGCAAGGCTCAAGATCAAGAGTCATATGCTGTACCAACTGAGCCAGTGAGGCACCTCAAGAAAACTTATTTCATTTCTTAACTTAATATGGTTTCCCAACTTACCTCGGATATGATTTTACTTTTTTGGGGGAACTTTGTCAAATGGCAAGAATATCTATACAGTGCTATAGAGTGTACTGAGTTTTATCATTCAGTATAAGAAGTACATATAGATATTTTAGTATCTTCAAAAATAATGGAGACAGTCTTAATGACTCAAAGTGAATTGTAAGAACTGAGTCCTTCACTTTATAGAGGGTCATATTTTAAACATTTAACCTCTGCAGTTTTTTTTCTAAAGGTCATGAGTTCTTCTAAACAGTCAACTCCATCTTTGAAGGTCTATAAATTACATTAATAAACAGATAGCAAAATACATTAAAGGGAACCAAAGTATTTATTTCATTCTTAGCTTTCAACCTCATCTATTATTCTCATCTCAGTTACAGATTAGCAGTAACAAATTTATCTCCTACATACTTTCACAACATGCTAAGAAAGGCTAAAAAGTCACTCATGGAAATTGTAAGCTAAGGAGACATTAGGGTAAAAACACACCCTCTAATAAGATCATATGCTTACATGAGGTTAAATAAAACAAAGTAATGTTATCCATGTAGGCACATCTCTATTATTATGCTAATCACACTATTACTGAACTCATCACATGTATTGTAATTGTCTGGTACTGTGACTGCATCTTCACTAGCATGTGGCCTCTTTGAAGCAGAGCTTGTGTCTTGATTACTTTAGTATCGTTGGTAGTACCAAGTGTTTAATATATTCAACAACATTGTAAGTATGCTTTAACAGATAACACTAACACCTAGTAATTGAAAGCATCGATTATGAAAAAAAAATACTTCACGTAAGGTCATGATATTAAAGATGTTATTTGGGCACGTTGAGTAGTAAAGTGTTAGATTCATATATATACATATACATATATATGTGTGTGTGTGTGTGTGTGTGTGTATATATATACCTGCTGTCAATGGCTTTACACAAGCTATAATCATTAACTAGAGTTTAGATGTGTGTTTCTCTTAGTGTTTGGACCATTTGTGTCAGATTTGCTTTCAGGAAGCTTGCCAAAATGTATTTACTTTCCCTGTCACACCCAGATTCAGATTCAGTAACTCTAGGGAAAGAGGGCAGCAGGAATAAGCTGTTTTAAAAACTTAGTTCCTCACGTAATTCTCATGCATCTGAAGTACGAGAATCATTGGCCACTCTGCTCAATACAAATAGGAAGCACAAATTTTTTTAACTGGTATCTCGAGCTATTCTTTTACTCATCTACTTTTAATTCAGTTCTAGCCCCTTACTGCTCTTAAACAGAACTGAGCAAAGCATTCATGCCATCAGTCAGCACGCATACCACAAGGCTCTGCAACCTTCCGGCTTCAGGCAGCGTTAACAGTGGGGTCGGTTGGCAACAGTCAATCAGAGGCTCACAGGAATCCTTAGCCTAAGGTACTGAACTGGATTTAGAAGAAGCAATCATGCATAGGAACAGGAAAGTTTTCTGCATACATGCTTAAATTCACATGAGATCCTTAATGAAGAGAACTACACAAACCTGCTCCTTGCCTTCAGGAGGTTTATAATCAAAGGCAGGCATGGGCTGGAAGTGAAGACTGCAGGGTAATCAATCAAATTAAATTCTCAGAGCCAGGGAGCAATGAATACACCAATCAGCATTCCTGAATGCAAATTCAAATTATTCCTCTTACATAGGCTTACTAATATGGACTAATAATGCAAAATAATTCTGGAGGAAATCATGCTAATTCTATTTTAGCTTTCATTAACTCCCTCAGCAATATTTTCTTAACAGTTATTATATCATCAAGCAGCTTATTACAGAGTTCAGTAATAGCCAAAATTCTTATCTAGAATATGACTGCTTAAGACCTTTAAGATTGATGTCATTATAAGAAAAACAAGTCCCCAACTTTGAAGTTGGGAAGCAAATCAAGACTCCAAAAAGTGTACATTAGATTTAGTCTGTTGCAAGCTTTAAGCATGTGGCCCTTTCCACTGGGTCAATATAGAAAAATTTCAGACCTATCCATAAACCACTTTCTGCTCCCTTGGGTTATTAATTTTTAGAAAAGGAATTCTTGGGACACCCCCATCAAGTTCCCATTTCAGTGTGCTCGTCATTACAGTGAAAGAAAAACAACCACACTGGTCTATGTCACAGTGTACATCTGCAGGGAACACCTTGAAAATAAACACCGAATTTTTGTAAACCTGATTTTCATTGTTAAAACATGGACATTCAGTAAAATATTGGTGGCATGGTTTTTAAAATTGAAATTCACTTTTTCCCAGATATTTTCAGTCTTATAAACTATTTACTATTTGATATTTGAGATCATTTTCACTAATAAAACCCTTTAGAATTTTCTTTTTTTTTAAATTTTTTTTTTCAACGTTTATTTATTTGTGGGACAGAGAGAAACAGAGCATGAACGGGGGAGGGGCAGAGAGAGAGGGAGACACAGAATCGGAAACAGGCTCCAGGCTCCGAGCCATCAGCCCAGAGCCCGACGCGGGGCTCGAACTCACGGACTGCGAGATCGTGACCCGGCCGAAGTCGGAGGCTCAACCGACTGCGCCACCCAGGCGCCCCTAGAATTTTCTTAAAGGAAGCATTTACATGGAATCATGATAATGCATGTAAAGTTGAAATATAATCATATGGTTGGAAAAAGTAAATTTAAAAATCATAAAACGTGACCTTGGGCTACTTTGAGACTTCCTCTGTGCCTCAGTTTTCCTACTGTGAAACTGAAGGACTGAATTCCAGTCATCACAGACGTGACTTCCAGTTTTAACATTCTAGAATACATTATTCACTTATTCATTCACCAGCAGTGTTCTTTTTAACAAGCCTCTTTGTTTAAATTCACCTTTCTTTGCTTTGGTATAATTCCCCCACCCCACCCTTTGCAATCCATACTACAATCATTAACGAACAAAATAGAGCTGTGTGCTCAGTCATTCTTACATAGCAGTTCTTAGAAAGGTGTTATATATATATATAAATAAATCTATCTAGAATTATTTATGGGGAAATTCTTCCTTAACATTTATGTCCATGTATTACAATGTACTTATTGACAGAAAACCCTTGCTTAGATCTGGACTCCAGGAGAGATCCTAACATGCATTTTTAAAAGGTCTTTAGTGTATCACCATCCTTTAAAATGAGCTGAGAGCTTGCCACAGCTTCCCAACATTGCTAAGAAGCTGACTCAGTTGTATTATAAACCTGTTCAATACATTCTTTAGTTTCTGTTTTCCTTCAGATGTCAAAGATATTTTCTTACATTTATTCTCTTTCAAGGAAGGAAATAATTGGACACAACAATCAAGTGAGAAAGATAAGAAATTGGGCATAAATGTCAGTAAAAGCAGCAGTATAATATTCAAATTCTTCTGGTGTCAGGGAAGGACATCATGTACGACAGGCTCCACACGTTTGCGGCACACGACTAAAAGATGCCAAGTATTGGCAAAGTTACATGGTTTCGTACCACTCAGAAAATACAGAAGAGAATAAAACAAAACAAACAGGAAAGAACACTACCTTTGGAGAGGCATGATTTCACAGGCCATTCTTGTATATAAATTTGCCAGGGACCCTCACAACTGTCTCTTCCACGCCAATTGGGTCCGCCTATACAGGAAACGTCTTCTCACAGTGGCTAAGCTGGGCTTGGGGGTGAGGCTGCACCTCACAGCTGGAGAAGCGACTTGCTCTGCAGTTAGCCAGTGTGCTGCTGCTCCCAGCCTCCAAACTTCTTCAAGCAATGCTATTTTATCGGCCGCCTCTCTACATTTACACTGCAGTCCACTTTGACCTTTTGTTCCAGGGACGCAGCTGAACCATCCAGCCAATCAGAGGAGCAGCTGTTGTAGTGCTTAAAGGCGCTGCTTCTTTTGCTCCTGCTGCTCCTCCCTCCTCCTGCTTCTCAGTGGGCTTGCCTAATTCTGGTAACTCGAAACTTTCCTCTTAGCAAATCCACAGAGGAGCTTGTCAGTCTGGGGAGAGCAACCAATAACTACAGCAAGAGCAAAGAGTCCCCCTTACTTCAGTGTTACGGAGACTGCCAAGGAGGAAATCCATTTGTCAAGGGAAGACACTGCCCTATGAAACTAAAGGTTTCTGTGACAGAAGGCAAGAGCTAAGCTCCATCCTGTCTCTTCCTTAAAAAAAAAATCCAAACAAATCACTGGCATTGGAAGGCATGATTCTTCTAGGAGGAAGGCATGCTTCTAGACCCTTGCCCTACCCACATTTATTTCCTGCTGTTTGTTTACACTGCGGTGGTTACCAGTCACTGGTGACATCACCCAAGGCACGTAGCTCACACTTCTGGGGAGAATACATGTCCTAAGACTGTTCAACTTCTCAGGGGATCAAAGGGTCTACTCCCACAGAAGTTATTTCAACTTATTATCTCTTCATTTTATCTGTATAAAATTGAATGTGTTTATTTGTATAATCATTTTCCTCTAAGAACATCAACAGTATGTTTTGACTGGTTGCTTATTTATGTATTTATCTAGAGATCTCTTTATCTATCTAGCTATTTATTTTTTTTTACAACTAACACCAAATCAATTTTCCATAAGGTCTGCTGCCTGTTAATTATCCAGTCTTCCCTTGCAATTTCTGCTTCAGTATGGAATACTAAAGTGTTGTTCTGGGGAACGTAATTATTAATCCATAGATTTCATACACTGCAGGAACAAGAGAAGTACATTTTTAAAAGATTTCTTTCAGGGGGCCTGGGTGGCCCAGTCAGTTAAGCATCCGACTTCAGCTCAGGTCATGATCTCAGAGTTTTGTGGGTTCGAGCCCCACGTTGGGGTCTGTGATGATGGTTTGGAGCCTGGAGCCTGCTTCGGATTCTGTGTCTCCCTCTCTCTCTGCCCTTCCCCTGCTCTCTTTCTCTCAAATAAACACTAAAAAGTTTTTTTTTTAAAGATTTCTTTCATATCACGAGAGCTTACAAGGAGTTATAAGAAAGCTCAGGGCATCGCTTTTAGAAGAAGAAAGGGCAGAGGGACAGAGTCCATGGTGTTGAGAAACAGTGGGGTCTTAAAGGTCCAAATAGGTATCTTCCTCCTCTGTAGTTTTTCCTATTTTTTTTTCACAGACCACTCATAATTCTGAACTTAGAACACAAAGTCTTATTATGTGTCCTTTCCTTTACTATACCTGCTAATAAAAGCATTTCATTGTCTGATTAATCCTCTACCATATTTATGAAAATGGATTAGTCATCCTGAAACTTGTGTTCAGATATTAAGGTAAAATATCAACGACTAAAATCAGCCTTTAAAACAGTGAAAGTTGACTTAAGTCCAGAATTTACTTTAATTGCAATTGTCAGTATATTCTTTTTTAATATCAGATTTGGAAATTCTAATTTGATTCTATAATAACAACTTAGTTCTGTATTTTTGCTTAAGTTTATTTTTCAAAATGCCTTTACATCTTAACACTTCAATAAACCGCGTGAGTTAGAAAATCACTATTACATACCGTAATATCTACTTGATTGTTGAGTAAACCAGGTACTAGAAAATTAAGTAATTTGTTCAGATTTACATAGGAAGTCAGTAGCAGAACAGAAACTGGACTCAGAGCTTCTTAGGTCTGCTCTGGAATTCTGCTATGTCATAGTGGTTACTCTATACTATAGGAGTTTTTAAATATTTTGTAAGATACAGATAGGTTTAGAAACACAGTGGACCCTTGAACAACACAGGTTTGAACTGTGCAGGGTTAAATATAGTAGGGTGCTGTAAATGTATTTTCTCCTCCTACTAATTTTAATAACATTTTCTTTTCTCTAGCTCACCTGATTGTGAGGATACAGTGTGTAATATACATAATATACAAAATATATGTGAGTCGACTGTTTACATCATCGATAAGGCTTCCAGTCAACAGTAGGTCATTAGTAGTTAAGTTTTTGTGGAGTCAAAAGTTGCGCATGGTGTTTTGACTGCACAGGGATTGGCGTCCCTAACTCTTATATTGTTCAAGGGCCAACTGTAGTTGAAGTTCAAATGAAGTAATATTTTGTCTTTTCTCAATTTTATGAACACATCAATACTATATGGCTAAAAGGAGTTCGATAATAAAGGACCTAGCATCATAAACATAAGCTGTAACTCAAACTACAATTTGCATTTAATATATACTAGAGATAAAACATTGAAGAACAGGGGCATTGGGCATTGAGGGGGGCAGCTGTTGGGATGAGCACTGGGTGTTGTATGGAAACCAATTTGACAATAAATTTCATATTAAAAAAAAAGAAGAACAGGGGCATTCATATTTTAACCTATGATTCCACCTATGTTTCCTTATAAATTAAGTCTTCATATCAGTATTCCTCTAACATGCCATATTACTAGTGAGACATCAGTGGTTATTTTTAAAAATTACCAAACATGAGAACTCCACAATTACATGCCTTTTCAAGTTTCTATTATTTATAACAATTCCTCCTCTTTTGGGCTCTCGGTCTATTTTCTGGGCATTATTTGATGATCATTGATGAATTTATACCTGGACTGCAGCTCTTTCTCTCTACCACACCCACTGCCAAAGTCCTTGATCACTTAAATACCTTTGCTATTTCTATTCCTAACATCCTTGTATCAGTTCCTCAGGTCGGGCAGCAGGAGTCTCATTCCCTGGACTCTGCCAGTTCTAACTCCCCAAACACTGATACCCTGACTGCATCTGCTCCACACTTAGCCCTACTGTTCATCACTTATCCCCCACGCTTCTGCCTCCCCCACTCCTCCCTCTCTTCCTTAGCCTTCTCTTCAGCAACAACTGTTCTGTCTGTAGAGTGTAACCTGCACCCAAACCAACTGGCATGCAGCTTTAAAAAAAAAGGCACATTCCTGGCTCTCCTCAGCATTTAGTTATTTCTAAAATGGGCTCACTAGCATCCTCCGCTTCTTCACCCTCTCTAAATCCTGCCAGCTGGGTTTTCTACTGCCAGACCGCTAAAACATTGCAAAAGAAAGTCACATAACCCTGGCAACTAGTGACACTAAAAATTCATGCTATTTAACCTCAGCATGAACCTCGATACTGTGTGGCAACCTTTTTACTTATCTTTAAATGATTTTTCACTGCATCCCCATAGAAACTGCTACAAATCTTCACTGCCACAAATCTGAACCTCTCTCAGTCAGTAACTGCCTCGCCTCCTAAATTTATTGAGGAAGCCAAGATCATCAAATGCGAGTCATTACCTTTGTTCTTCCCTGTTACCCTTATGGATTTAAGTGCACCCCCGCTGTCCATATATACACAACACACACAACACACACACGAACACACACACAATCTTGCCTTCCTCTATTTGACTTCTTCCTAGTCTAGCAGAAAAGGTCTCATTCACAGGACTCCAATTTCTTATCTACCTTTTGGATCTCTTCATTTCCTCCTTTCTCTGGAAGAAACCTGATCTCTCCTAGATCTTAAATCTGTCCCCCTTCCAATAGGAACCTGAGTAAGTATCCCCTAGCCTTAAAATGTTTTCCTCATCTGCCTTGCCTGCTGGTGCTGCAGTGCTATTTTACCCTCCTCCCACTGACAGACTTCCCCAAAACCTACCTCTGCTGTTCCCACTTCTGCATAAGTTACTGACTCCCCCACCCCATGCCCCATGCCAACGGACGTGGGACTTCACCACTTTTCTGAAACTGCTTTAAGGCCACCAATGCTCTTTGGACTATTAAATCTCTACTCTTAACTTTCCAGAAACATCCACCTTTGGTTTTCTAAAAGTTTCTGGTTCCCTGTAATCTTTCCTGGGGATTCCCCACATGTCCTTGGTTACTCCATTCTCCTTTTATTTCATTTGTCCTTCCTTCTCTCTTATCCCCTCCACACCTTGCTTTCTAGCCCAGCACCATTCAGTACAGACATTTTATTAGGGCTTAATAAGCTGTGCTCTGGAAATACGCTCCTGGGGATTGGATCCAGACTCTACAACAGATGAGCAGTGTAAACTTGGGCAGGCTATATAAAAAGCTCTGAAGTTGCTCTGAAGAATAAATGAGATCACATACGTAAAACATGAAGAACAGTGCCTGGCAAATCACTAAGTGCTAAATCATTATTAGTACTATTATCCTAATCAACACTTCCAAGGCCTCATATTATCTTATCCCCAAATTTCTCCTCCTCCTGGCCCCTCTTGTTAATGATGTTGTTATTCTCTTTATGAATCAGATTCAAAAAGTGAGTCATCTTTATTCCTCCTCCCTCGCCTCTCCTTCAAGCTGTTGACTGTGCTGTCTCTTTAATTAGCTGACCTTGGTCATTTGCAGTATGAGAATGATCCTTCTGCCTCCATTCACCTGATCTCCAAGATCTCCAATGCATACATTTCGCTGTCAGGGAGTTTCCTACTGTGATTGTAATCTGCTCACTCACTCTTCTGCTAGAAACCTTCATTAGCTCCAAACCATCTTTTTGATGAACCCCAATTCTTTAACATAATGACTAAGACTCTCCACCAATTAACCTCAATCTACCCCTCCAGTTCATCTGCTTATACTTCTTAAAGAAATCACTCCAGACAAACCTGGACACTATTTTTTAATCTGCTCTACACTCTTCTACCCCAAACATGTGTTCATGCTGTTCCCTGTCTGGAATATTTTCCCATTCCATTTTCTTCTGGGAAAATTCCATGCATACATCAGGCTTTGGCCAGTTAAAATAAATTTATTTTCCCTTTTCAATTTATACAGCCCTAGGCATCTCTAATATTATTTACACCCCCCACCCTGCCCCAGTTTTATTATTATTTGAACCTATATATTATTTCCCTACTGGAATATAAGATCTGCAGGATAAGGACTCCATTTCTGCTATAGCCACTACACAGCATAGACACTTAATAAGTGCTGAATGAATT